GGAGATTGGGAATTAGGGAGATTGGGAACTAGGGAGTTTGGAAACTAGAGAGATTGGGAACTAGGGAATTTGGAACTAGAGAGTTTTGAAACTAGGGAATTTGGCACTAAGGAATTTGGGATCTAGGAAATTTGGAACTAGGGAATTTGGGATCTAGAGAATTCGGAACTCGGAAATTTGATAACTAGGAAATTTAAAAACTAGAGAATTCGGATACCTTAGAGAAAATTATCTTAACATTTCTTAAAATTTGTTATCTCCTGTGTTCCTAGATCTATAAATTCCCCAACATTATAATTCTCATGAAAATATTTCAGAGTGTATTTCTTTACAGAAACGCAGAGACCCTGATACATTTACTGAAAGGAAGCCTGGGAACCGGAATTCTGGCAATGCCGAACGCATTCTGCAACAGTGGACTTGTTACCGGTGTGATAGCCACAGTGATCATAGGAGTGTTATGCACTTATTGCTTGCACGTACTAGTGAAAGCTCAGTACAGACTGTGTAAACGGTTAAGAGTTCCTATATTGAGTTATCCGTTGAGTATGAAGTACGCTCTCGAGGAAGGTCCAGCGTGTGTCAAATGGTTCGCGCCGTATGCACCGTAAGTATGATCGACCGTGCACATCTACACACGGACACATCCATATTTCTACACTTGTCATAATCATCGTGTATCTCGACGTAATCATTATTTCGTCATTTTCTTGCTCATCGATTGTCGATGTTTATGCATTTACATTTTACCGATGGATCATCGATAATACTTAATCGATTTTCGTGAATTATCTTTGCGGTCTTATACGTCACAAGACAGTAACGATTATTTTGGGAATGTTCGTTAATGTTTTGAGAAAATACGTATTTGTATAAACATCCGCAATCTAATTATCAGAGCTGATTAAATGCTGGTTCAAGTAATTTAATTAATTGATTTATTGTATTATATTGTTGTTAATGAAGTGGAAGATTTATTTTTAACGTGCTCTTGATAGTACTCGAAGTGCTGCAAATTATTGTTAATGAATTTTATCTTATTTATTTAAATCGAATGTTGTTTGTTGTCAACAGCAAGTCAGCCATTTTTCTTTTTAAATATTAACGAAACCTTTATGTAGACGTCTTCGTTAAGCTTTAAGCTTTAAATTGGTATGCCATAAGTGCTTTTTTCTGATAATTTTATGTCATGAAATCGTGTGCGACTTTGCAGTATTCAGACACGCAACAATCTAATACAAAAATCATTTTCTTAAATAAAATTCAATTTTAATATATCGAAAAAATATGTATGACAAATAAAATTGAAATGTTTAAAAGACTCAGCAATTCGGAATTACAAAATTTGATGCAGTTTAGTAGAAGATGCGAACCAATAAAGTGATGTCTGATCATGGTTGACCATATCTACTTGAGCCACTCCACTGTGACTTCGAACGGATTCAAATTGGCGCGAAATTATGAATGAAACTTATCAAAAATTACTCGCTATTGAACTATAAAAATTTCCCTAATTTGTCTATATAGAATTCTCTAATTTATTTTAATTGACAATCGAAATTCTTGCTAAAAAACATTGATGATACCATAAATGAAAAATGTTTAAAAAGACGCGAAACATAATAAGATAGTATTAGAAACAAACTTATCAAATATTATCTTACACCGCGATCAGCGACACAATTTTTCTAAAGCTATAGTTCAAACTTCATAACATTTTTTTTCTTTCATTACTTCTTCGTTCAACAATAATATAATTTCACGAAACGAAAAATTTTCCAAAACGTGAAACACTTTTCTGCCCTTTCCTGCATCGCTCACGAACCTCGAATCAATTCACGCACACAAAGCACGCACAGATCATCCCCCCACAAAACTACTAAAACGGCTGAAGGCCATTCAATTGTAACATGAAAGTTGCTGTTATATTTGCAGAGGACTCGTAGACGGGTTCATGATAGCGTATCAATTGGGAATATGCTGCGTTTATATCGTATTTGTAGCGTCGAATATCAAGCAGGTAAATAGCCGAAGCGGGAATGATGAAAAAATCAAAAAAATCGATGACGCCGAAAACGGATAAAAACGGCGACGCGGGCTTTCTCTTCTATCGAGCGAACAACCGAAAGAAAGCATAAATAAATAAATAAATAATAAAACGACCTAAAGAAACAAGTGAAAGAAAATTAAAACAAAAAAATTCTCTATGAACGAACGATCGGGGTGATTCGATCGAACTCACTGATATATCATTCTCTCTGTTCTGTTGGTGAACGCAGGTGGCAGACCAGTACTGGGAACCTTTGGATGTTAAAACGCACATGCTCATTTTATTGCTACCGTTGATTTTGATCAATTACGTTAGGAACCTGAAGTTACTGGCGCCGTTCTCCACCCTAGCGAACCTAATCACGTTCGTTGGTCTGGCTATGATCCTGGTTTATATGTTCAAAGACTTGCCGCCGATTAGCGAGAGAGAAATGTTTGGGACGCTTAGGAACTTCTCTCTTTATTTCGGGACGACGTTGTTCGCTTTGGAAGCTGTTGGAGTGGTGAGTTACGATTTTAGTCTTAGAAATTTAGGGAATTTCAGGATCTGGGAGTATGGGTAAGGTTATTGGAATTTAGGGATTCGGGATGTAGAGATATCGGGGGCTAGGAATTTCAGAATTTAGGAATTTCAGGAAGTAGGGATTTTGATATCTAGGGATTTTGGTATATACAGATTTTGGGAACTAGGGAGAATGGGAATTAGGGTGATTGGGAACTAGGGAAACTGGGAACTAGGGAGATTGGGAACTAGGAAGATTGGGAAGTACAGAGATTGGGAACTAGGGAGATTGGGAACTAAGGAGATTGGGAAGTAGAGAGATTGGGAACTAGGGAGATTGGGAACTAGGGAGATTGGGAACTAGGGTGATTGGGAACTAGGGAGATTGGGAACTAGGGAGATTGGGAACTAGGGAGATTGGGAACTAGGGAGATTGGGAACTAGGGAGATTGGGAACTAGGGAGATTGGGAACTAGGGAGATTGGGAACTAGGGAGATTGGGAACTAGGGAGATTGGGAACTAGGGAGATTGGGAACTAGGAAGATTGGGAAATAGGGAGATTGGGAACTAGGGAGATTGGAAACTAGAGTGATTGGGAACTAGGGAGATTGGGAACTAGGGAGATTGGGAACTAGGGAGATTGGGAACTAGGGAGATTGGGAACTAGGGAGATTGGGAACTAGGGAGATTGGGAACTAGGGAGATTGGGAACTAGGGAGATTGGGAACTAGGGAGATTGGGAACTAGGGAGATTGGGAACTAGGGAGATTGGGAACTAGGGAGATTGGGAACTAGGGAGATTGGGAACTAGGGAGATTGGGAACTAGGGAGATTGGGAACTAGGGAGATTGGGAACTAGGGAGATTGGGAACTAGGGAGATTGGGAACTAGGGAGATTGGGAACTAGGGAGATTGGGAACTAGGGAGATTGGGAACTAGGGAGATTGGGAACTAGGGAGATTGGGAACTAGGGAGATTGGGAACTAGGGAGATTGGGAACTAGGGAGATTGGGAACTAGGGAGATTGGGAACTAGGGAGATTGGGAACTAGGGTGATTGGGAACTAGGGAGATTGGAAACTAGGGAGATTGGGAACTAGGAAAATTTGGAACTAGGGAGATTTGGAATTAGGGAGATTGGGAACTAGGAAAATTGGTAACTAGGGTGATTGGGAACTAGGGAGATTGGGAACTAGGGAGATTGAGAACTAGAGAGATTGGGAAGTAGGGAGATTGGGAACTAGGGAGATTGAGATCTAGGGATTTTTGTGATTTGAGGATTCTTTAGATTTAGGGATTCTTGGGATTTGGGGATTCTTGGGATTTTTGGTATTTAGGAATTCTTGGAATTTGAGAATTTTTGGATCTATGATCTGGGCCTTTTTGGATATTGGAATCTAGGGATTATGAATCTACAGCTAACGGGATTTGGAAGGATTATGGTTTGAATATATTCAGATGCACAGTAATATTCGGATCTTGTGTACACAGTGATCGATACACCTACAGATACACATATCACATATTTACGAATCTTAAACTTGTTTTTTAAACGTTTTTTTAAATGCAGAAATTCAATTATTGAAAAAAAAGTCTATCGACAACCGCGAATTTCCCTTCTGATACATTTCTATAGAATAACAAGTACATCACGCAGAACAGAATTTTCTGTTGCCCGCAGAAACAAGCAATTTAGCACAATATTGAATATGAGATCATATCGGTTTTACGATTTTACCCGTGTACCCTGGATCGATCTATCATTTGGCCTCGTCGATCATTTCCCGTGACTGTTAGCGAAACGAATAGCCTGCACGCTTAGAATAGATCAACAACGCCGCTGCGTCAGTTAATAAACAAATAAATGGCCACTTACTGGACAAGTTTGAGATTGCCGTGATCAGATCGTCAGTGCGTCGATGCAATCCATGCTATTATTTCTCAGCCGTTCTCATCCTCTTCAAGAAATCTCAGTGATTCTCAAGTGCCGTTTAATCCCTGGCTCGATGTTATTTCGATACAATTTATCATTGATCTCTTGTCACAAGTTATGATCGATCGCACGTGGTATGCTGATAACAAAATATATCGAGAATAATATTTATTTTAATTACATTAAAGACACACCAGTTCCAATATTTTTAGTCCCTAAAGTAATTTCATTTGTTGCTAATAAACAAATTTTTCATATTAGATTTATGTATTGATAGTATAAATATAGATGGTATTAGTATATGTAGATTGGGAACTAGGGAGATTGGGAATTAGGGAGAGTGGGAATTAGGGAGATTGGGAATTAAAGAGATTGGGAATTAGGGAGATTGGGAATTAGAGAGATTGGGAATTAGGGAGATTGGGAACTAGGGAGTTCGGAAACTAGAGAGATTGGGAACTAGGGAGATTGGAAACTAGAGAGATTGGGAACTAGGGAATTTGGAAAGTAGAGAGATTGGCAACTAGGGAGATTGGGAATTAGGGAGATTGGGAACTAGGGAGATTGGGAATTAGGGAGTTTGGAAACTAGAGAGATTGGAAACTAGAGAGATTGGGGACTAGGGAGTTTGGAAACTAGAGAGATTGGGAACTAGGGAGTGTGGAAACTAGAGAAATTGGAACTAGGGAGTTTGGAAACTAGGGAGAGTGGGAACTAGGGAAATTAGAAGCTAGAGAGAATAGGAATTAGGGAATTTGGAAACTAGAGAGATTGGAACTAGGGAGTTTGGAAACTAGAGAGATTGGAAACTAAAGAGATTGGGAACTAGGGAGTTTGGAAACTAGAGAGATTGGGAATTAGGGAGTTTGGAAACTAGAGAGATTGAGAACTAAGGAGATTGGAATATAGAAAGATTGGGATAGTATAAATAGGTAAATATTGTATTATAATTAATATACTTCTTTTTTAATTCCAGATTATCGCACTGGAGAACAACATGAAGACCCCACAGTACTTCGGAGGGTACTGCGGTGTTCTGAACATAGGAATGACGGTAATAGTGGCTCTCTACATTCTTATGGGGTTCTTCGGTTACGTAAAGTACGGAGACAAGGCTGGCGGCAGTATTACTTTCAATTTACGCTCGGACGAAGTGTAAGTGATCTTCAATTGAACGTATCTCCGTTCGAATACATGGCAATTAAACCGTTATTCCATTTCAGGATGGCACAGAGCATCAGGATTATGTTCGCTATCGCGATCTTTATCACGCATGCTCTTCAAGGATACGTCCCTGTCGAAATTATATGGAACACGTATCTCGATCAGAAGATACAGAAACGGAAGATCTTCTGGGAATACGTGTGCAGGACTGTCATCACTTTAATCACTTGTAAATATATTCATTAATTGCTACTAAATTATTGTCAACTAATTGATAATATTGTAATATGATATTATTGTAAAGTTTGATCAGATAGGATGGTAACTGTTCAAGCATACAAGTATTCATATGTACATGTGTGTATTATATGTACATGTGTGTAACGTCCTTGAAGTGGTTCATTACAAAAAATTTGTAATTAAATTTTATTCGAAATATTTCTAGAAATTATTGTCAATTATTTGCTGTATCAAACTGCTCTTATGTGACAATGTTGTAAAGTTTGATCAGACAGGATGGTAACTGTTCAAGCATACAAGTATTCATATGTACATGTGTGTATTATATGTGCATGTGTGTAACGTCCTTAAAGTGATTGATTACACAAAATTTTTCCCAAAAACTTCATTTGAAATATTTCTAAAAAGTTTTTCTTTTTCAGTCACACTGGCAGTCGCTGTACCCAGATTGGGTCTCTTCATCTCCCTCTTCGGGGCCCTCTGCCTCTCCGCCCTGGGCATCGCCTTCCCAGCGATCATCGAGATCTGCGTACTGTGGCCAGAGAGAGAATTCGGTCCATGCATGATCATGCTATTAAAGAACATTTGTCTGATAGTGTTTGGTCTGCTGGGTCTGGTGATCGGCACTTACGTCAGCATCGTCGACATCGTTAACTCCTTCAAGTGAAGCTTACGTGCGATCTGGAAGAAACAATCGAAGGAAGATAAACGAAGAGAGAGGAGAGTAAGAGGATGCTATATAGGGAACATGCCGCAGCTTCTCGTCTCAGTTTAGCTTACAGCGGCGATATACGAGACGTGCTCCCGAAATGATGTCTTCGTGTCTTAATCTGCTCTTTCATCTTGATAGATCAAGTTACACGTTGTAATAGTGTCTGATTTTAACAGACTTGTATCATATATCAAATCAAGTAGTGTCTGATTTGAACAGACTTGTATCAAATGTCAAATCAAGTAGTGTCTGACGTGATCAAAGTCTAGTGTCAAATATCAAATTACATATAGTTCGATTTCATCAGACTAGTATCACATGTTTGATGGAACAAAATATTACAATATCCACACAGCACTTTCCATTTCAAATAAATTAAATCTTGCCTTTAAAGTTGTAGGAATATTGATAATGATCTATCAGTATGATACAGTTTACTGAAACCTGAGAATATCATTTTGGGAGCTTTTCGTGTTAGGTAGACAAGCGTGCAGAGGGTCTTTTAGGGAAATTGCGAGCGGACTAGCATTCAGGTAATGCTTCTCTCGCGCCATTATCGCCATTAGCGCACCTTAAACAGAGTTTTTAGATGTATTGTTTAACTACGACCAGGAGTCGTGCAGTGTTGGGCACAAAATGACATTGGATATAAATGCATGTCGGTGGAAATCATGTAATTTGGACTTTGCATGTGGTTACTCGTGGAGATAATCATTATACATGATGAACTTGACGGACACTTATATATGATGAACCTGATGAACAATTATATATGATGAATTTGATAAAACATTACATATGATAAACCTGATGAATCATTATACATGATGAACCTAATGAACTGTTATATATGATGAATTTAATGAACCATCACATATGATGAACCTGATGAACTATTATATATAATGATTTCAGTGAACCATTGTATACAATGAACCAGTCAAACCACCACATTTGATGAATTTGATGAACTATTATATATGATGAACATGATGAACAGTTATATATGATGAATTTGATGAACCATTATGTATAATGATTTCAGTGAACCATTGTATACAATGAACCAGTCAAACCACCACATTTGATGAATTTGATGAACTATTATATATGATGAACATGATGAACAGTTATATATGATGAATTTGATGAACCATTATGTATAATGATTTCAGTGAACCATTGTATACAATGAACCAGTCAAACCACCACATTTGATGAATTTGATGAACTATTATATATGATGAACATGATGAACAGTTATATATGATGAATTTGATGAACCATTATGTATAATGATTTCAGTGAACCATTGTATACAATGAACCAGTCAAACCACCACATTTGATGAATTTGATGAACTATTATATATGATGAACATGATGAACAGTTATATATGATGAATTTGATGAACCATTA